TTTACTAAATTTTTAAATTAACATTTTCTAGGCATAGACATGGTAAAATTTTTAAAATACTTCGTCTTTTTTTTCTTTTCTTAAAATATTTGATTTTTATTTATAAGTTATTGAAAATTATAGTTTTGGTCAAAAAGCTTAAAAATTTAATATCTTCTAATTGAAGATTCCGCATAAACTGTTCTTATTGTAATTTAAAAAAAAAAAAAATTATTATAAAGTATATTCACATTTAATATAACAAATTATACTAAGAGATTTTTGTTATTTAGATGTAACCTTGTAAATAAAATATAATTAATTGGGTAACATACCATTATTGCTTACTATAAATAATTTTAAAAATAATAAACTAATTTTAAGCCATATTTTATGCATATTTAAAATATACTAGATGGTTTTTCATACTAAATTGATCTTGAATTACTTTATGAAAATATCAAAAATGAATTTCATGTGAAAATTGAATATTTAAACAAAAAACAAATGATTTTCAAGTCCGTATTGATTTAAAATTATAAAATGTGGTAGTAAAATATTTAATAAAAAAATTAATTTAAAAACGTTGACACACTTCATATTGACCAGTAAGATAAAAATTAGCGACTAAAATTTTTAAATTAAGTAAAAATGTTAAAATTAATCTCGGCTGTTTTGATCAAAGCTATTCACTGAACCAGATAAAACAGTTCAAACAATTGGTCAACATTTGAATTCAAACAGTAGTAAACCTGTCCTAAACCCGGATTTCCTAAAATATAAATGAGGTATAAAAAATTAAAAATACACTTTCCTTTTGTGATAAAGTCAAACTAAAGAAATAGTTTAAACGAACCTTCTGAGTTATTTGAATTTTTAACTAGACATGTGCCTCTTAAATAGATAAATATCTTATTAGATCAAAACTTAACTATTGTCCAATTTGCTGTAGAAACTTTTACCAAACTTTTCAAAAATATTTAACATGATGTATAACACAATAGTTAGATGTGTAACTAATTTTAATTTTAATGTGTTCAATAATGAACTATATAACACTACGTTGAACCTCCCCAAAATGCTGATACACCAAAAACTGAAACCAGTGAAGGTCACTTTATTTTATATTTTTTTTTTTTTTATCTAAATACAAAACAAATTTAAATTAAACACTCATAGCTATATGTATCTATATACGTAAATCCAAGGAAAAAGGGCTAAGATACTTCATTCTTCTTTTGAAATTTTGAATAATATGATGTATTTATTTAAAATATAAATACAATTGTTAACAATCTTATCAAATGTTATCTACATATCATTTATTAAGTATTAAAATAAAAGTTATATTTTTTTTTAAATTTCTAGACCCCTCATTTTTGATTTCTAGATCCACGCTTGAGAAGCATCTACACAACTGAGTAGTATGTAGCCTTTATTAGGAGTTCAGCCATAATGACTGGTAAAATAAAAATCGACATCTTTAAAATAATCTTTCAACTAACTTAATGCTATATTATTCAATTTTAAAAGTAAAGTATTAACCGATCTTTCATCTTAAACAATCAGTACCTTTATTTAACAATTCAATAAAAGTACGTTTCATATAGACATCGGAACATTGTTTTATAAAAGATAATGCTAAATGCAAGATGCTGAAAATAGAAGTTCAAAAATCATAAACAGCACCAATACAGCTAAATACTTTGTCATACGCAGAAATATTGATACACTATAAATCTATTTAAAAATGAACAACTCATGATAAATAAAATACTTAAAATTATATAATGGATAATATCTTATATTAGTATAAAAAATTAGTAAGAAATCACACTTAACAGGCACAACATTGATCAAACGAAGAATATTTAATATCAAACATTGAACCTCCAGTATGTTTATCGTATAGTTTAGAATGATGAAAGTCAAACACCATTCACCGTCTAATTTTTACAGATGTAAGAAAAGAACTTAAAAAACCAGAAATTTGTATGGAACAATTGAATAATTTTTAAATTTCAATAAATCAATCCTTTGTTTAAAAAATAAACTTACTTATAAAAATTAATCTAGTGTAAATAATGTAATGCGAACTAATAACTTTGTGGTTGATATTTAAAGATAAATCTAACAACTGATGGTTAAAGCAGCAAATACTAAAAGAATAATTGATATACGTAATAAAATCAATGCACAATTATAATATTATATATATAATTCTAACCATAAAATAATACTGATCAACTGTATTATATCATGTTGTATATATATATATATTTTTTTATTTCTAAGTATAGAGTTTCTAAATACATCATATTATACATAATTTTTTTAACGGGCAGAGTTTAGGGGAGATCGTTGTAATTTGGATAAAATTAATACTTGTTTAATGTTTTACAAAAATATTTTGGTTACAGAAAAAAATGTAAAGCTAATTTTATTTAAATGAATATTGTCATCATCAAAACCCAAAGCTTTATGTAACATAAATAAAATAAAAACAATCATAGTTGTACTTATATGAAAATAATCAAAAATACAACGCGTTAAAGAGTTTATCAGTTCAAGCATAAGATAATCCGATCGATATTTCGTTTTAGAATAATATTATAATTTGTAATTTGATTATGAATATGCATTATTGAGGTTCAAACGTAAAATTTCCATATCATGATAGAGATGATATTACGAATACAGCTGCGAGAGCACAATTTAATATAACATAATTCTTATTGTTTTATGTACACCTATATTCTATGTATAAAGACGATTAAAAACTATTGCTGTGTCATTTAATTTTTTTTAATAAGCTCAAAATAAACATATATTTTATTTAAATTTGTTTCGGTGTACTTCTTATCTTGTTGGTACAAGTAGTTTGCTTAAAAATGCGATGGTTTTACATTAACTCGGTGGTGATGGAATTTATCCTATAGTAAACAGCGATATTAAAAAAATAAAAATAAATTAAGTATAGTAATATATACATTTGACTCCAATAAAATCAATAAAAACTATTTTTCGTCTAAGGTAAAACGTGGAAAATTCAAATTAAATATTATTTGACTTCGTTAGACAATACCAGAATACATTTGCTATTTTGAATGTTTTGTATTTTTGTGTTGAATTTTATTTATTTATTTCATTAATATCAAAGATTATGGAATAAGTAAAAAATAATACAATACATATTTAAAAATGTGTTCTATAGTAAATAATATAGTCACAAATAACAAAAATGAATTTTATTATGATTTTAAAAACGTAAATTTGTATACATTCTTACTTAATAATATTCGAATTATCACTGATTCAGATATTGTACAATATTTCAATTAATAATATTTCAACTGAAATAATTATGTATTAAAAATCGATGACTCTTACTAATATTATAGATTGAGTAATAATATTCAAATTATTAATAACCATGACAATTTTTTAGTTTTTTTTTTTTTTACTTAAGTATATACCTATGTATAAATTATGTATAATATATTTACTAAAGTAATAAAGTTTCTACTAACAATTGTTAAAATTTCAAAGTATATAAAAGTAACTGTTTGTAAGCCAAAGTTAATCAAAACATATGTCTTGTGTAGGAATAATCAATAATAAATGCTTGTTATTAACATCAACTTATTTGTTAAATAATATTTGGGTAGGTACCTACCTACTATTAAAATAATGTTTTGTTCAATTAAGAAATACTTACTCTCCAATTTATAATTGGTAAACTTAAAAGTATATATTACAACACTGATAATATATTCTATAACCTAGATGGATATTACAGTTTTAATTATATAAATTTGCTTAGAGGACGATACCGCACAATACTAGCAAGTGTTGTCTCTCTCTCTCTCTCTCTCTCTCTTATTAACGCAAAGCACTAAAAATTGTACATTCAGTTTAATCAATTTTACTCAATTATTTTTATACCTGAATACATTTAAAGCAAGTTGATATTTTTAAAATTATTGTTAATTTAAATTATATATATATATATATATATTTTTTTTTTATTTAACTAATTTTAATAAAATAAAAAAAAATTATAGTTAAATTTAAATGAAAAAAGGAAGACGTTGTTTTGTAATTCTATTTTATCAGTTATTAGATATTGAAGATGGAAGATTTCAAATTAAGACTCTTTTAAGATTTTAAAATCCTCAACTTCCATTGAAATAAGTATAATATTTGCATTTATATTATATGAGTAAACACAATAATGGTACCCAAGTATATTTTGAATGACTTATACTTATCTCATAGTTAATAAACAATAAAATAATTGATTCAGTCAAAATAAATATTGCTGAGTGCAATTTCATTCTTTTAATATTATATGAAACCAAGTTTTCAGTTCGCCCCAAAAAGTGATAATAAAAACAATAATATTACTAATTATAGATATTTGTAATGGTTAGGGTAACAACAGACACAACCCCCTTTTGAATAAAACCAAAGATGCAAAGAAAGCATACTCATTTTTATCTGACTTGATATAGGTCGTTTTTGTTTTTTTTTTCTCGTGGAAATAATTGCGCCAAAGCATTAATTTATTTTTAGCGAAAAAAACCGCTCTAACCACCAAAAATCTCGTCACTTATCTGCTCGATGTCGGAGCTCGTGAGTCGAGTGTTGCGGTTTAAAAACTAAAACAAAAACAAAAATTTAAAACCAAACTTTTTACCCTGCACGAGTAAATAACGAAACAGTAAAAATCCAACGATACGACGTACTATTTTACACGCGCGTTACGCGTATACCCTGTTTGGGGGGGGGGATTCTTGACCAGGCGGTGCGGGTGGTCTCTGCGGTCAGGGGAGGGTGTTCGGTTGGTCGACGGGTATTGGCGGTTTAAGGTGCACGGCGGCGCGTATAATATATCGGCGCGCCGGCGGAGTAGGCTTGCGCGGCTTTCGGACTTTCGTCGGTTCGGCGTGAAGGGTGGTGGCGGCGACGGTGGGCATGAACGCGCGCCGCGGATACTGCGAGCGCGCGACTTCGCCACGACTAGACCGGCATTAGACGTTTCGGCGTGCGACTTATCGCACTATACCGCGGACCGCCACGCTGAAGTCGCGTGATCCGCGGGCGCGAAACGGTTACACCGACGACGAGCGTTCGTCGTAAAGGTACGCGGCTGTTGGGAATTTAAAAAAATATAAAAATAAATACCGTTCGATACGATTTAAACCGTTCGGGCCGGACCGAGTCGCGTTCGACGGACATCGCGCACGACGTTTCAGTGACCGAATCAATCGCTCGATTTTTTAGCAACCGTTATTGACGTTTTCGACGATCAACGGTGTAGTGAGACGATCCGCGTCCACATAGAGCATATTATTTTATATGCGTAATAGCATGCGACAGTATTATCTCCGAGACGACATCATCGGGCTCGTTGCCGACCAAACACGCGTTCTGATGCCATTATTGTCGCCGACCGTACTGCTATCGTAATATCATATATTGCGATCGTCGCTGTCGTGTGCGACCCGACTATGCCGCGGCGAGCCAAAGCGGTCTTCGGCGGACGGACGATAATCATTTAGAAACGGTAATCGCGTGTTCTGCACGGTATAAAATGTAAACACTATTATTAATAATTCGTATGCTTTTGTATTCGCGGTTTGTAAGCGACGTAGATATTTTTTTTTTTTTTTTTTACCTTTTGTGTATTCTTGTTTCACGGATATCTATAATGCATGACGCTATTGTTTTTATGACGGAAATATAATATCAACTTTATTATACATTAATATTATTGTATTAAAGACGTCGGAGAATGGTATTTCACTAACATCGCGATGACTGTTAACGTCTCGATTTCAAACTGCGACGCGTGCGTTTAAAATATTATCGTATTTTTTTTATTTTTTTTGTTATTCGTTTTCAGCATTAGTCCGTTTAAATCTGTACAACAACGTTGATCGTTATGATATTAAAAATGTCTCGAATACGTTGTCGTCGAAATTTACCTGCAATTTTGCTTATGGTTAAATTTAATCATCCTCCGAAAAAAAAGTATAAAATGCAATAATTTATTGAAGTGATAAAACCATCAAAGTCAACCGAGTTGTATGCAATTTAATTCCAAATTTTCTTTGTACCTTATAGTTTATATGGCTGTAAATAATATTTATTTATATTTTAATATATTTTTTTCGAATATAATTTTAATATCTTCTAAGAATTTATTATTTAATAATATTTATTAATTATTTTTTCAGATATTGTTAAATTTTGAATTTAAAACTGTTTACAACAAAAGAATGAACGCTCTATTGTATCTTTTCACGCTATACATACTTGGTAAGTAATTCAAATTTAAAATATTTTTCGAACCAGATTGTTGGTTTACACAAAGAAATTTAGCTGGAAAAAACAATTAATCTCAAATTAAATTATTGAGTTGTATATAACTCGATCTTAATAATATCTATCAAATAAATATGATTATCAGTAATTATAAAATGTATGTATTTTTTCTTCTATATTAATGGCTTCATTGGCCGTCCGAGTTATACTTAATAAACGGGATTAATTTAATTTTAGATTTAGTTGTAAATGTTGTACAAAATAATAAGGCAAAGCAAACAGATAAGATTTTATTTTAAATTTTCGTCATTATTGTTATCATATTATGTATCATTATATTACCCGTTCAAATTTAAATATAGATAGGAACATCAAAATCTTCAAAAAAAAAAAAAAAAAACTATTTGCTCTACCATTCATGGTAGAATGAATTTCATTTGAAAAAATAGTTTGTATCTTTATAGAATATTCCTTAAATGGTATAAAATATCTTAATATATACCCTTTATGATGTAGGTACTTGTAAATCTATAAATTCAAAAATCAGAATTTTAATAAATTTATTATGAAGAATAAAAAGAAAGGGAGTGTATTTTATGAATCATACTGTATATTCTATATAATAGGGATAAAAAATTTATAATTATTATGAAATAATTTTCTATCTTTGTGAATCAATTAATTTACTTGTAGAAAATTGCAATTTTGCAACATACGTCGTATTGACAATATATTCTAGAAAATTACACTGTGTAAATCAAAAATCAAAACCCGTACATTTAAAAATTACTTTTCAGAAGGATGTTTGTGTTTAGTTTGCATATGATTGATTTGGATTCACTATAGAATTTGTTTTAAATCATTAAGACAACTTACGATTAATCTTAATTAAAAATATTTAAATATAAAATAATTAACAATTTTATTAGGTATTAATGAATATTTTTATCGCATCAATTGATCGTTAGTAGTATTTTAAAAGTTAAGTATATATAAATATAATATGACACACTTAAAAAATAAAAAATCTTTAATATCAGCATTTATATTGCATAATATTTAAATTATTACTATTATTTTTTATTTAAAATATTGATAATTTTTAAATTAATACAATAATAAAGACTGCAAAATTAAAATTTATCATAATATTATTAAAAATAATTAGTTTACTTTGTTAATTATATCTTTTTTTTTTTTTTAATCACAATCAATTACTTGTTAGACACAACATTTTTTGACAGAAAATAACCAATTATCTCTCTATTTGTATGTAGCAATTTTTGGTGTATTGAGTAAAAAACTTTAACTGTAGAAATTGAATTAACATGTTTTACGATGCAACAAAATGAATATCGCATATTTGTACAAAAAAATAAATAACCACACTATACAAAGGAAAAAATAGAATTGACCGTTAAAATGATTTTATTTACGTAAAGAAGCGTAATTTATTGAAACAAAAAAGATGTTTGTTTTTACACTATTTCAAGATTGTGTATATTATATTACTATATTATGCTATACGATGGCAGTACATGATATTCACATTGAGAGGAGGGTAAATGGAATAAAGCGGACAAAAAAAAAATGTAAGTTTTCCGGACATTGAATTTGAATAACCGGCCATCTGAGTTATAAGTTTCAGGGTTGTCATATAGAAACTGTAGAAAAAAAACTTGCAGGGCTTTCTCCGTCGAGTCGCGCAATCTTTGCTGTCTTTTGCTCTTCTTTCTGATAGTATATATACTACGATTGTTAAAAACTTTGGAGCTTTGCGCATTCACTACACGTATTTTCGATTTTTTACCCAGAGATGATATTATTATTATGCGAGAAACAAAAAAAAAGTTGTTGTTATTATAATAATCGTTCGATTGATAGTACTGTGAAAGAAATCGTAGAATTATAATTTCCCATCGCTGGTTCGATGTGGTGCCACGCGATAACACAAAAATTGTATGCGTACCGTGCTTAAATCTATATAATGTGTTTGTTTATGTAGACTATACCTTTATAATATTTTATGAATTTATTGTGAAGCGCGTGACTATACTCACACGTAGTCTGACTGCAGATTATAGCTCATACGATCGCGTCGATAATTGGATAATAATGTGTAGCTGCCATGAAATCGTTTTTTTTTTTTTTAAGTCCGATTTGACTTCTCTTATTTAAAAACTTATTAAATCAAATACCTGTTATGTATTTGAATAAACTACAACGTATTAATGGGAAGACTATAAAATGCGATATTAGGAATTAAATATAAATTGTATACATATTTTTATTGTAAAAACAAAATACTAAGAAAATTGTTTGTGAAAGGATGCTGTAGTGACAATCATAAAAAATAATTAGAAGATAGCTTTTTTTCTTTTAAAATTCAAATACCTGTCTAGTTTTGATATAATTCAATGAAAACGAATAAAAAATGTCTATAGTATAATAATAGGTAATGTATTATTTACACGTATTGTTCTAATTACGCTTAGACATAATACATGATATATTTTTCATTTTTAAATTTTTACGACTTATGGTCTACGGTTAAATACCATGAATCAGTAAAATATAATATACTGTTACACTGCTACATTCCCAAAAGTCACATTTGGTCCCAACAAAATATTTTAAGTCGATGTTTTCCGTCGAAGGTGAACATTTTTGGACCCTTGAGAATATTATAAACCATCCAAATATAATATATATGTATCAATTGTTATATCTTCAATCTCTTATACGAATTTTTTCCTAAAATTTTTACGATGGTATCGCTGTATTGGGCCATACCACTAATGGCATATATCGAAAATATACTCGTTTTCTAACGCAACCGATACAATTTAAAGTATTGTCCATGATATTCCCAAACGAACGATTTACCTACTTTTAACTAAGCTTAAAATCGATCAATAATATAGCCAATAGCATATTTTATTATCGTTTTCTATTTTTTTTAATACTTGGATAACTATAATATAATTTACACGGTCTTTATTTTCCTTAATATAATAATTCGTTGAGGAAACACATTTTTCAATGCTTCAACTTTCAATAAAATGCAATAACAGTCAGTCAAAAATAGTTTTTCACGAGCAATCGATAGTTTACGATACAAATTCGCAATAACAAAACAAACACAATAAAATAACAGATGATCTAATGTATTACTTTTGTGTTCAACATTTATTTCACTTAATAAAATATTGATAGTTTACATTAAATCGTTATTGTTCGTTTGAACTGTTTTAATTATGTACGAAAACTTAAAATAAATACTGTAAAATCCCTAGAAGCGTACATTTTTCTCAAGGGTTTCAAAAGAAATTTAGAATTAACAAATTTAATCGCATCTTATAATTATATGTGTATATATAGATTAGATGTAACACGCGTAAACTCAATACTATATAATAATATGATAATATATGTGCACTATTTAATTAACATTAACTGAACACCGTGAATATTAATTAAAATGCGTTCGTGATTATCTTAAGGTTAAATTTATTTACCCGTAAAAAAAGGTTTCACTTCAATGAATATTAAAGATTTATCAGAAATATTATTCAAATTGTAATAGATAGGTATTCAAAATACGATAGAGCTAATGGTAATAGTAAATTAAACATAATTTATACAAAATTCCTCAAAATAGTATAATTTTAAAATGCATTGATATTTGAATTATAATAATATAATATAAAATATAATCAATTTTTAGATTATTTATACTACTATTTCCCTGGACGGACGTAAGATTATGAGGTCGATACGGAATGTTGATGACAACATCAACAGTAATGATTGCTATTGTTCTTATCGAATATATTTATGACCAATGTCATTTTTGACATTTAGTAAAAATTGATTAAGCCCGACATAAATAAATAGGTGAGTACGTATGTACGTGTATTTAAATATATTGGTTTTGGTGTATATTTATCAATAATAAATAAACTAAAAATACCTTTTCAAAGAAAAAAAAACCACCAAATTATAAAAATTTTATTTTAAATTTTCCAAGAACTATGGGTATTCGAAAAAATCTTCATAAAACTATTTTAAAAGTATTAAACCAAGACAAATAAAACACTAAATTAGTACATCAATCATATCTATAATATTATTTAAATGTTTAAATATTTTATTTTGATTAATTGTTTGTATTAAAAAAAATTAACGTATTTAAAGTTTATATTTTTTTTTATACAAATTAAACATTATTTTATTGGAAATAATAATATAATATATTCAGTATTTCATAAAAAATAATTTTATTTAGAAATAATTGTATTTCATTGTACTTATTATACTTAAGTTACACATGCTATGTAAGGATTAGTGTTAAAACTATTAAATCGTATTACTTTTTTTTAAAAAGATAATACTTTAATATTTTTTATTGAATTGAATTAAAGTTATATGATTAATATTATTGATATAATATATCTCAATGATGAATAATTATAAATTAATGTGCACACCAATGTGGCTTATATTATACATATATATTTAGATATATAACAGGAATCGTATTTTTTTTATTTTCTATTATTGAAGTTTCACAGACTATTATCAGCCACAGGGAGCCCATATAGATCTTAATAGAGAATTGACTATGCACCACAGTGGATCGTCAAATATTCTAACTTTTCCACTTTAGAAATATTTTTTTCAAGTATTTTAAAGGAAAATTTTCTTCACAATTCAAAATCAGTATTAATATAGCATGTGCAATAGGTACGCATAATATATATTACAGTTTTTCGGTATACTTGCGGTGCGAAAGTACGTTTCGCTTGGTTCTCATTCCTTTTATCGACCAGCATAATTTACACTTTAACGACAATTTGAATCTAAAAGGACACAATATCCATTTGTACGTTATAAATAGTAAAGGGTATTATATATTTTATGAAAATATTTACAAAAACATAAATGTAAGTATATAAAAATATGTATATGCATATTGCATATACGTATTATTA